GAGTAAGGGGGAAATCTCAGGTAAGAGTTTCCTATGAGCAAGTATCTCTTTATCCTGTGCACCCTTGCCTGTGACTCCCCGACCCCTGTTACCCATCACTGTCCTCATCCTGTCTGCTATTCCTTCATGACTAGATTACTAGGACAGGAGTCAAAGACATCTAGACGCTGAAAGTGGGTGGGCTGGGTGGGTATCTCATCTGGACTGGGGAAAGTGGGTGGGCTGGGTGGGTATCTCATCTGGACTGGGGAAAGCCTCTTTGCTGTTGCTATGTGTCAATGCGTCAACCTTGACTCATTCAGACCCTCCGCACAACACAGGGACATACTGCCCAGCGCTGCCCTGTCCCCATCATGGTTGCTCTGACCGAGCCCATCGCTGTAGGTGCTGTGTCAATCCATCTCTTTGAGGGTCTTCCCCTTTTTCATTGACTCTCTAATTTACCGGGTCTGATGTTCTCCTGGGACCGGTCCCTCCTGACAACATACCCAAATATGTGAGGTAAAGTCTCATCATCGTTGCTTCTGCGGAACACTCCAGCTGCGTTTCTTACAAAAGCGCTTTGTTTGTTCTTTTGGAAGTCCTTCAAACACCACCACCAGCACAACCCTCAAACTCACTGTCATCGGGTGCGAGCGGGCTCATAGCTGACCTTCCAGGGCATTTTCAGAGGCTGGCAGTGACATGGGAGAAGACTGCTCATCTTTCTCCACGGAGCAGCTGGTAGAATTGCCTGCCTTTCGGGGGGTAGGGCAACTCCGTACCCAGTTGGCCACCAGAGCTTCCTCTGCAAGTCCAGATTTCTTTGTGGAGCCTGCAGGCTTTCGTCCCCAGGTCCATCTGCTCAAGAGTACATGGCATGGCTGGTGAGTCTACAAGGGGGTAATTAGAACTTGCAAATGTAGAGCGTGCTGCCGGATCCACGTGGCCACGGGGTGAGTGGAGAAGGGGCAGAGCATGGTCATTCAGGAGTGTAGGCTGTGGGGAGACTTGACTTTCCCCACAGCCACCAAGCTCCAGCATGACAATCCGAAGAGCCTGGGAATTTTAAATCCCAGTGACTCGAGGTCATCCTGAAGATGTCTTTGTTATTTTATTTTTTTTAAAATTGTATTATTTTACGTGTACCGTCAAATCAGATCTAACTGGTACAGTAGGAGATTGCCCCCTCCTTCTCCAGCAGAGCACCTGGTGGATTTGAACCCCATACCTCTGGGATTGTGGTGCAGCATCTTGCCACTAGGCCACCGGAGCTCCCTTGTTCTTTCAGGAGAGGAGGATAGTATCATTCAAATTTTTGTTAGCTTGATTCACGGTTGTGTTTGCCTACTTGCCTGCGGCCTCCCATTTGACCTCTTGCCCTGAGCAGCCTGCCTCCAATGTGAGGTGCTGGCCTGCTGGGAAGTGTTACATCTGCAAGAGAAATATCTCTCTGGACTTTTTTCCTTTCTTGTGAATCCTGGTGTGGGGCTTTTCAAGGTGACATTTAGGGATTTGAGAAACATGCTTTATCGTTTTCCTTGCTCCGGGCTAGCCAGAAAGCTGACACAAGGCTGCCGGCCGCTGTGGAGTTGAACGGTTTTGTTCAGTGATGTCTCTCAGCTGGGCCCACACACTGAGGTGTGCTTTTAACATGAGGGCTGGAGCCTGGATTAGTCCGTGAATTATGTGAAGGAAGTCTGTGTCTGCCTGATCCTTTTTCAGAAGTAACATTGTAAAGTCTGAGTAGCAGGGCATTGCAGCAGAAGCTCATGAGCAGAGTTTGGGAGAACAGGGCTAGGACATTAGAGAGTCTTCCTTTATTCTTCTTCTGCATCTACACTGTGCCCACAAATCCTGTGATGGTCCATGGCACGGCTGTTGCCGACAGCAACCTGTAAGCCACCTGGGCTCCAGCCTCCACCAAGACATCATCTTGTTGAAGAAATAACACGGACAGCTCAGCCAAGGAAACACAGAGGCAGTTAATTGCATGGGAGGAGATTGCCCATCCTTCTCCCAAGGAGCAACTGGTGGCCTCGAACCCAGTGCCTTTGGGATTGCAGGGCAGCTTTTTGCCACTAGGCCACCAGAGTTCAAGGAAACACAATATTACAAAAGCCAAAGTATAATTTAGGGTGTGAGAGGAAGTGTTTTCAAGACTAGGTCATACTGGGACCAGTAGAAGGTCCTGGATAGGTAGAATATGGGGAAATGTGGAATAAAACTAAACACAGAAGCAAGGCTAGAACGACTGGTCTAATAGAGACTGGTGGTCTTATTGAGACTCTAGCCATCAGTCACGCTCTGAACCTGGAACAGAGCTAACTCCTGTAGCTCAACTCTGAACCAGACAATAGGTAGGTCTACCAGGTGACTCAAAACACCAAGGCGGCACTCAATCCTTTTAAGGTTAGAAGAGCAGCACTTGCCTAGTCAGGATAAAGCCCAGAGGCAGGAAAGGGTAGAAGAGAAAGATTAATAGAAGTAAGAATGACAAGGCTGAAGTGAGAAGAGTGAGGTTACACTCTGGGCATTGTCATTCATGTTAGAAAACAAAATACCTATGAATGGTTGAATGGGAAAACAATTTGCTTGGTACACTTTCATTCAAATAATAATTAAAAAAATTTAACTAGGAATTTTAAAACAACAACACAACAATCTAGTTCAGGGTTTCTCTCTCTAAGCACTATTAATATTTGAGACCAGAGAATTCTTCATTATAGAGAAATGGATGGAAGGCTTTTTAGCAGCATCCCTGATGTCTATCCACAAGATGCCAGTAGCACCCACCCCCACACACCAGCTATGACAATTAGACGTGCCTGCCGTCACTGCCAAATATCCTCTAGGGACCAAAAATCACTCCTGGCTGAGAACCACATCTCTAGTCCAACCCCTGCTATTTCTATTATCATTATTGCCTGTAAACTCCAAGGAAGAGCCCCTGGGTGTTAAGTGCTCTAATGCCAGCCAAAAAAGGTTGATGGCCCAAAATCTACCCCCAGGTGCCTCAGAAAGCAGACCTAGAGATCTACTTCCCAAGACCTCATCTCCTTGAAAATCCCACGGAACAGTTCTACTTTGCATCCATGGGATTGTCAAGAATTGGAATCAACTCAGTGGTGACTAACAGCAACAGACTAAACACAAAGGTTACAGGGAGTCAGAGAAGACAGAGGTGATGAGCATCATGAAACAAGTTCATGCAGGAGGAGGAGATCCCTGAGCTGAGACTATAAAAGGGTAGAGGCAGGGGGATGACCAAAAGTGACCTCTGTCAGTTTCACAGAGGGGAACAGTCCCTATCAGCAACATCCGCAAAGCCAAAGCAATTCCCATAAGGTCAGACATGGCCTGGACACTCCCATCCCTACTTCTACTAATTCCAATGCCAGTCAGACTACTCTACTAAAAATATTAAACTGCTCTACTCCTGGATCAGGATTGGAGGGAAATTCATCAATAACCTGTGTTATGCAGATGGTACAACTTTGCTTATTGAAAGTGAGGAAGACGTGAAGCATTTGTTGCAGAAGATCAAGGAATGCAGCCTTTGGTAATGGATTTCATCTCAGTGTCAAGAAAACAAAGATTCTTACCACTGGACTGATAGGCAGCAGCATCATGGGTGGAGAGGAGACTGAAACTGTCAACAGCTTCATTTTACTTAAGAGCCAAAACTAATACCCTTAGTTCCAGCAGTCAGGAAATAAGGAGACACACAGCACTGGGAAAATCTGCAGGTAGGAAACTCTCCAAATTATTGTGGAGTAATGATGTCAGTTTGAGGACGAAGGTGCATCTGATTCAGACCATGGCCTTTCTGATCACTTGCTGTGCATCTGGACAGCTGGACAATGAATAAGGATGACAGGAGAAGAATTGATGCCTTTGAGCTATGATGTTGGAGAAGATGTTTTTGTTGTTATGTGCCATAGAGTCGTTTGCGACTCCTAGCGACCCTGTGTACAACAGCCCTAAACCCTGCTTTATCCTATGCCAGTTGCACTGCCTCTGACACACCCATCCCGATTACCGCAGTCACCGAATCAATCCACCTCATAGAGGGTCTTCTCCTCCTACTCTGTCCCTCCACCCTCCCAAGCATGATGTCCCTCTCCAAGGACCTGTCCCTCCTTGCAACATGCCCAAAGTATGTCAGACAAAGCCCCAGAATCCTTGCCTCCAAGGAGTTGCCTGGTTTAATACTCTCCAGGATGAATCTGTTTGTTTTCTTGGCAGTCCATAGTACATTCAATACTCTTCTCCAGCACCACAGCTCAAAGGCATCAATTCTCCTTCTATCCTCCCTAGTCATTGTCCAACTCTCTGATGCATAACAAGTGATTGCAAAGACCATGGCCTATCCCAAAATGGACTGCCCAAAGAACAAACAAACTGCAGTCCCAGAGGTGTGCGGTTCAAATCCACCAGATGCTCTGCTGAAGAAGGAGGAACAATCACCTCCTGTACCAGTCAGATCAGATTTGATGGTACACACATTAAAACAAACAAACAAGCAAAAACAAAAGAACAAACAAATATGACTTAGAGAGGGTGCTCTTTGGAGGCAAAGATGATGAGGCTTCACATACTTCGGGCATGTTCCTAGGAGGGGCTATTCCTTGGAGAGGGACATCATGCCTGGAAAAGTGAAGGGTCAGCAAAGGAGAGGAAGACCCTTAACCAGGTAGATTGACATGGTGACTGCTGCAGTGGGCTCTAGTGTGTCAGGAGGTGTGAGGTTGGCACAGGATATGACAGGGTTCAGATCTATTGTTCATAGAGTCGCTGTGGATCATACTCGACTTGATGACACCTAACAACCACCACCACAGGGTCTGAAATCATTTGCAATAACTGCAGAGACCTCACAGAACCATCCTCACCGTTACAGGGTTAACTAGGCAAGTTAACAAGTTACAATTCAAGTTGGCAGCAGGTACAATTCATCAGTCAGGACAGCTTCTCAAGTGTGCTCATAGATCCTTTGACCTTCAACCTTGTGGTTTTAGTGTTACAAAGCTCTTAATCCTACCAATGACAGCATCTCCCCTCCATCCTCCAACCAGTCGCGCTAAGGCGCTGGCTCTGGCTCCACGGACAGCAGCCCCAAGTCAGCTCTGCCTCATGCTGGTCCTCTGCAGAGGCTGCGGCCCTTGTAGAAGTCTTGGTCTGTCCGGCACAGGAACCTCTGGTCCTGAAGGACATATTTTGCTACTTTCCCGACTTCTCCTTGGCTGATAGTGAAATTCCTATCTTCTGCTTCTAAATCTGCTCAATTTAAATCTGGTGGGATGAGGAAACTGACCAGTCCCGCTATGGGTCCTTTATATGCACTTTATTTCTTGTTCCCAATCAGCCTTGTGATGAAAGTTAAAGTTGATGGCTAGGAAAGCCACTGTGAGCCAGAATCCTATTGATGTCAAAGCCCCAGAGAATGGATACGAGGTTACTGTTGTGGTTGGAACAGCACTGGAGCGGGGTGGGAGAAGAACATGAGTGAAGGCAGAGATGCAGGAACCCCCACTCAGTGATGCCGTTTGTGGAATCCCAGAAGGTGCCCCGCTGAGGAAACACGAGGGACTGGAAATTCAGCCCCCTTCCCTTGGCGAGGCGTGGACCTTGGTCACATAAGTGCAAAGAAGGGGAGCTTTTTACTTGGTAGAAAGCTGTCAGTCACATGCCTCCCACCTCAGGGGTTCATTGTGCTGCATCTGGCTCAAAGAATGCTTTTTCCTAATGACACAAAGAGACCACAGAGGCCAGCAAAAGGCCCCAGGAGTGAGCTTGTCCTGGAATGATGAGAAGAGGCACCCTAGCGAATGAAGGAGGCCAGCACTCTGTCAGAAGATCGCGTGGCACGCGAAGAGCATCACGGTGGGCCAGAAGATCAAACAGCTCTGTCTGGGAGGAAGTGCGTCTAGCATGCTCCTGAAAAGCAAGGATGGGAAAGACTTCATCTTGCATCTTATCAAGAGGGACCAACTCCTGGGGAAGGACAGTGTGCGTCAGCACAGGAGAGGAAGATCTTCAATGAGGTGGTTTGCAGCAGCGTGTGTAAGCGTGGCAGAGATTGGGAGGAAGCTGCAGGGTGGAGCAGCAATTTGTTCTGTGTTCATAGCGTCCTAGGAGTCAGAATCGACTCCATGGCATCTAACACCAGCCTGCCCTTCAGCTACACAAGGAAGAATGCCAAGTCATTCCAAGAGCTCAAAGCAGTTTACACTGAAAGGAGAAAGAAAACTCGGAGAGAAGAATCTGGAGTGTGCTATGCAACCTTCATACTCGGGGTGTGGGGGGGAATTGTATACCAATGAAGGAATTTTTCTTTTACTTTTTCAAAGAGAAGAGCGAACTGGGGGTTG